AGGCCCCGAGGCAGCTCTGTGCCTTGGCCTCTCAGACCAGACGCTGTTGTCTTCAGAAGAAACTGGGGCCTTAGAAGAAGCTCGAGCCTGGCTGAGTCGGTACACGGAGGGCCCAACCAGCGTGATTCGGGCTGTGAAAAAGGTGGTGGCAGCGGGAAGAGAGCTACCGCTGGAAGCTGCCCTACGGACAGAAAAGGACGTTTTTGGAACTGTGTGGGGTGGGCCTGCCAACCTGCAGGCATTGGCTAGGAGACCGAAACATAAATGACAACCAATGCGTAAGAAATGTTCTTGACCTGTTTGCAAACAAAGCTTTCACTAAAGCAGGCATTAAACTGAATCATTTCATGACTTGTTCATTTGAACTGGCATTAACATTCTTGTCATTCACGTCAGGCAGCCATACCCGGTGTGCAACCGCAACAGAGAAGTCCCTGGCAGATTCGTTACTGTCCTATTCACCCATTGAATGGAGATCAGTGAAATTAGTATATAAAGGTAAATACTGTGCTGAGAACAGAGCTGTAATTCTTTTGGAATGAGGCTGAAAATTATTTTCTTTGGAGTTAATTTTGTTTTTCTAACTGGTATGCAAATGAATTGCTTGAAAGATATGAGGTTTATTTATTTGCAGAACAGGTGCATCTGAAGTTGCAAAATATGAGTTCCCCAACATGGACAGTGTCTTTAAGCAGCTTTGAAGGGATGATAACTGGTGAGATGATATTTTTTTTCACCTTCTGTCAGTTCTTTGCATAATTGCTGCAAAAGTATCCAAGGATACTTCAATTTAATGGTGATTTTTCCAGGAGAAGCTCTAACTCACTGAGGAGCTTACAGCCCTCATCCACTGACACTGATTCAGGTCCTTAAATGCATCCTCACTGTTCAAGGAACCAGCCACCTACGTATGCATCTGCACATTCCCATATTCCAGACCTGTGGTGCTGAGCATGTGCAAAGCTGCTGACCTGATTCTTTACATAGAGTCTAGCTGAAGTCTTGCAAGCCCATGATGTGTCATGCTCCCAGATGGGATGTCCTTGACTGACTGGATGGTCTGAGTACTCAGCATTCTGGAAAGACTTGTGCGTGGATCTATCTGCATCTTACTTCATGGTATTTTTACTGGTAGGGCATTTTTAGGCTGACCAGAAGGTTTGGAACTCTGTCTTCATGCTGGTGACAGTGCAAGTAATTGGAGAACTCAGTGGGGAGGGTTTTCCCTTTAGAAATTAGAAACTGACATAGAGTTCCTGCTTTAGTAGATGGTTCTTAAAATGGAACATCTGTGAGAGCAAAACCATGCAGACATACCCACAGCTGATAGTCTCCTGTACTGTTGGTTAGGAGGAACTTGTCTCCAAATCCAGCAGGGACTCAGATCTGAGCCCAGGACCCAAGTACTCCAGGGGAGCATGTTAAAGAGGGAACTCTGGGCTAGGTGGCATTGACATGCATACCTCTCTAACTCGAGATTCATGGAACAAGCTTCCTTGGGAAAAAGAGGTGATTCCTTGGATGGAAATCCCTGTTACGTGTTCCAGTGTGGCAGGATTCCTGAATTTTAGACAGTGAGGTAACTGTTACCTCTGTAACATATGGACTGTACATATGTTTGAGGATCTTGGGACAGATCGATGATGGGAATTAGGCTTGGCCTGCCTGTTAAGGTTCTGCAGCTTTGGAACAGATGTTGTGCTCTGCTGGGGATGTTTTACTATATAGCTTTCACAGCAGGGAGTGTGTATAGCCTGAAGCATCCAAGAGAAGTGCTGAAGAAAGGGATGTGTTTTGAACTGGCACCTCAGGGAGGATAAGGAAAATTTACTCTGCCCTGTTGATCCTGCCCGTTTGCCTTCACGCCTGGAGCTGCTGCTGGATGAAGATTTCAAACCTCTCTTCTGTAAAAATAAAGTTAGAAAAGAGACCGGAATGGGAACATGGGAGGGATAGTGTTCTGGCTTTTGCTTCTTTCCCCCCCAACCCCACCCCTTTTTATCCATTAGCCCAGTTGTTAGTTCCCTGTGCAGCTGGATTCTTTCCCATGCTCTAGACTTCAAACCTGTTACTTCTGAAGTACAGATGTTTCAACACAGTCAGGCAGTACTTGATTGTTTAATAGCGAAGCTGTTCTGCTTTTCATGAAGTTTCTCCAGACTCATGAGGGATTCCAGACTGCCAACATCACTGAACCTTCAGAGCATGCTCCAGTCCATGTTCATCCAACCTTTTGAAGCAATAGCACATCATGTTGTCCTGAGTTGAGCCAGTCATGCTATAAAGGGCAACTGGTTATATCTTTGCGAGTAACAAGAATAAATTTGCCATTACTAATACTGTGATTATGTTTTTTAAATGAGTGTGAAAATTGCTTAAAACCTGAGCAAGGCCCCTGAATAATTTATTTTTCAAGTACCGGGCTGGAAGGCTCATGAGTGTATTCTGTGCACTGGGTGATATAAATTTGAAAGGGAAGAAATTGTAGCAGAGAAGTGGAATCTGTTTTATTTGCATGTTTTGAACTGGACCTGCAGTGCCACTAAGTGAACCTCAGTATGTACAACTATTGGGGACCTCTTTCCATTTTGATTTGTAGACAATGAGCTTACTTCTTATTTCAGCAGATGCATTTCCCCAGCCATCCTCTCTGATTTGTATCAAAGGCCAATGTTCGCTTCCAGGAACAGGACAAATAATTAACTAGTACTAAGACACTTTCAGAGAAGTTTCAGAAAAGATTACAGAAACTCATTTCATTGGAATGACAAATATACCAAACATGGTTACAGGAGGTTCTGAAAACAATTGCAGATGTTTGTTTTGACCGAGGATTTTGAGAGCAGCCTAATACCATGTTCTCTGGTTTCTTTTGTTTTAAAAGCAAGTACAGCCCTTTGTATGAAAACCAGCCTAACTGAATTACCATGAGTGCTAGCACGAAAGCTCCAGACAGAGATAAAATGGAATCCCATTTTACCAATTTCAAACTTAAATGCTGTTTCACAGAATGCTTATTGTCTTAAAGTGACAAATACCTGTACCAGCAGCTGATTAGGCACTTGGGTTTGTTTTGCTTTTACAATTATTGAAGATGGTGAACTTCAACTCACGTTTTGTTCCCCTTCAGAAATGGCCTAAAACCAAACAAGCAACATAATAACAAAATAAATTAGAAACCTCAAAACTGATACTTCTAGGCTCCTAATTAAATGGCATGCTAGCTTTTGTATTTCCTAGGGGCTCGTTTGCCAGCTCCCTCCTCAGCAAACTGGGCTTCTTATGGCGCTGTGAAATGCTCGCCTTGTTCCCTTGCCTCTGTGTACTGGGACAGCCCCAGTGCTGCATGGGGGTGTGGAGTCTGCACCAAGCATTTAAAGGCTGGATGCTGGAGATCACTTTTAGCAGTATAGGTATTTGCTGCTGACAGAAATATACTTCCCAAATGGGCAATGGAGGTCAGCTAGGTGTTCTTGCAGAACGCTTGGTTCACTATATCATTTTTTTCAGCAGAACATGGGATTCCTGGATCTGTGATTTTATCCATTCTGGCAATTAAGCAATGCCATAGATTTTTATAGTATTTTAGCTTCCTTTTTCCTTTCCATTCTGCTCCACTGTGCATTTCTCTAGCTATGCTGTACAAGTTGAAAATCACTTAATGCATGGAGTTACGGAAAGCCACATAATGCCGTGTGGCTGTGGCTTAGCCAAGACTGACAGAGGACACGTCTCCTATTGAAGGTAATGGTTTAAGTATCAAATGGGAATTACCCGTTACTACTTTTCCTTGCTTGATCTCAGGAGTGCATTTGCCACTCTAATGATTGGCCCTTAAGCTCTCACCAGTCTAACTAATTTTAGTACTTCACAGCTGCAGTCAGCCAGCAGGAGCCAAAAGCAGCAGCATGGGTAGTCTACTGAACAGAAGTCTTTCCTCTTTCCTTCAGTCAGGAACCCCCAAGGATAACCACTGATAATTTAATCTGCAGACTGTTTGGGCCAAGATCCTGAATTAAGCATATTGCAAGTCAAATTCTTGTATTTTGCTTCTTGCTTTCATAGAATCATAGGGGTTGGAAGGGACCTCGAAAGATCAAACTTCTTCAACAGGAGATGCACACATTTTGTTCCATGTGCAGGTATATTGTAGAAGTGTTCTTACCGAAGGTTTTTGCAGCACAGCTAGACTGATGAGAGCCACTGCGTGCTAACTCCAAACAGAGAATAAGGCAGCTGGCAATAAACAAATAGAAAAAAACAACATTCCATCCCATTTCCTTCTGAAGTCCATGTTATTGGCTTATTTCCTTACCCAACTGGAAGGTGGTAGTAAAAATCTGTGATTGAGAGGGTCCATTCCTGGATGAGAAAGAAGGAAATCTTTCTTATTCTGTCCTAGTCTCCTCTGCACTCTCCTTTGTTTCCTGACAGTCCACTGATCTCACCTGCGGGCAGAGGAAACTGGAGAGTTGGCACAGCTTTGCCCAAGATTAGCCATGCCAGCCTTCATTACATTAAGGAGAACATTTTAGAAGCTTAAATCTACCATTTTTAAAAATTAGCCCCTTTAATATCCTGCAAATGGTTGTTTGGCTACAGCAGCTTTAGTCATGAGATGTGTTAGTACCCCTGTATCAGCTACTGTCCCTTTCTAGTCAGGGATACATGCACTAAGAATTGCAGTTTAATTAGCTTTACTTTAAAGATCGAGTCCAGAACTAACTAATGCTGTTTCTCAATTTGAAAAATCTAGAACAACTGCCACAGACAGAAAAGACAAGCTGTGCTTTTCAAAATCTGGCTTCTAACTTTCCCCAATACACAGAAGTCAGCTTGTAGAAATGCATCTCCCAGATGGCTGATACAAGCACAGAACTACCTCTTCTGTGCAGCCACTAGTTTTGCTATCAAGAACAGATAAACGGCAATGTAACTGATGGTCTTGTATTTCAACATGTGTGATGCTTCTGCCCACCACAACAGCCAAGGGAGTCAATCAGCTCTTCAGATGTGAATAGCTTCATCAACAGGAGAAACGCTCCTACAGTGTTGAGTGAACTTCACCATACCACTCACAGCCAGTTCCCCCTTTTGGTAAACACAGGGAGCTGCTTTAGGATAGTCTTCTTTAAGGTTCCTCCAGTGAAGTTCAATTAAACTGGAGAGAGAGCTGAGATTGTTACTGATAAAATGTAGTTTTATTAAATTATAAATTCTGTAACAAAAACAAGACAGATCAAGAAAGACCTCAAAACCAAAACTACA